ACAAGCAAATACGTAACAGTACTTTCAGTTGTTTATCTGCAACTTCAATTCCATCACCAATTGAACAGTTTCCCCTCAAAGATGTAAATACATTTTGCATATATACCTTAATCTATTATAGCTTCTATGAACTGGCTGCATGCTAATGAATTCACCAATTCATGTAAAGCACCTGGATAATTGGGCAAGTCTTTCCACATCTTCAGCAAGTTTAGCTAAGGTCTTGACCTTCTTCGTTACTCCACTCTAAATTTTGTTTTCGAAAGTTTATTCAGATGTGACATCCCAAATCTTTTGATAAAGTTGCCACTAACACCTGATAATTGTCACAGCTCTCTGTTGCAAGGTTGCTCAACGTTGTTAAAACTGGTCCTTTTAATTAAATGTGCAGCAAGATATGGTTTATTGTTCATTGCTTTATCCATTCACCTTGAAATTTATTTAAGACTGTTCCTGATGTGCCTCCCATTGTATCTTTTCATTAAAATCCTGTTTGTTTCGCAATTGGGTAATGATGTTGAACTGGTCTGTGTATTCCATAACTTGATGAAGAAGTAGTGTAGCTGGAGTAGTCCAGGAAAGTCCTACAGTCACGGGTGTCACAGCAGCAGTAGTAATAGGTGTCGATCAAATGGTTTGTGTTCCCTATGGTATAGTTAACGATGTTTGAGGTTGAAACTGTTGATCTAATGGAAACAGAGAGATGTACCTCATTTCAGTTTCTAGATATTTTATCATGGTGTTGATATCCTTCTTTACATTTTTCATGGCTTCTTTGATCTTATTATCTTTCTATACTTCTCCAATCTTTTTGTTATAAACCATCAGCTCTTCCCCCTTTTGATTCACTGATGTCCTTTAGTATTACTTCGATTTTCTTTATTATCCCTATGCAAATTTTCTATGGCTTCCTTGATTAAGTTGATTTTTAGTCGTAATTTTTCGGTAAATCTCGTTTAATTCTTAAATTCCCAACTCTTCTGATTTTCTGTCATTTTTCTTCTTGGTCTTCCTTTACTTTCTCTCTCACTTCTTTATTTTGTTTTACCTGTTTCATCATTTACCTTAATCAGTTATAGATAACTTCTGATCCAAGCCAGCTACCTACATAGATCAAAACTGAAAATTAACCAGTAAATAATGTAACTAATTTAATATACCAATCCAACTAAGATTGTAGGGTCATAAAACAAAAATTCATAATGATTTAGAACGCATTGATTCATCAGTTAGATATACTTGATGTTGTCGACTATAATCCCAATAGTATTTCCTAATATTTCACCAGTTTAAGAGAGTTAGGTTAGTCCTAAATCTATATACTAAACTAACAAAGCAAATAATCCTCAAAAGTATAAAATATAGACTAGAGAAAAGTATAACAAATAATTTTTTAAACCAACACTTGTAGCTTGCTTTATGGACTGTCTCCAATCCCCCATCCACGTAAAAGCATGGCATTGGTAAACGCAATATAATCCTCTCTAATAATGGCCCTAACAACCAATGAAAGTCAGACTCCAACAGTAAACTAAACTTATAACTCGTAATATATATAACTATAACAGTTCTATTTAAAAATTTTCCATAAGAAACAATTAGCAATATGAAATGTCACTGCAAAACGCTTTGTTAAAAGTTATAAACAGCTAAAATGCGATTTAATAACCACTGGACAGTAAAACTGCGTTTCCTCACCGATAACGGAACACAACATTTAATTAAAATAAAGGTGATGTCAAGAGCATAACCTTGGCCTTAAAATAAACCTACTCCTTGCATTTCATTTATCTTTGGTAATTTTTTTTTACTATAATCGCTTTTATTTTAAGTTTGTTAACATTAAGTTCACAACAAATTTTGTTTCCAATTTTATTATCATTGCAATGTTGCATATCTTTAAAATGCTGGTAGACATGTGCTGGAATATGTCCATATTCTTCTATTTAAACTGTTAGAAAAGTAAAATTTGTCTTTTATTGATATTTTAAACTTTACCCAACACATGAGCTGAAGTCACACCAGAAACTCTGAGGTTCTGGCATACCCATTTTTAATTTAAGGCTGCTGATCAGAGGAAAAGTAACCAGTCAGCAGCACTCTTGCCTGTGTGGCTGTAACATGAGAGCATGCCATGTGTTTTCTATCTGATTTAGTGATATTAAAACTAAAAATTTCGATTGTTTACTTTTATGCTGTAATGGTGGCAACACTCGGTCAAAAAAACTGAAATTAACTTTTCATAGTTGCTTCCTTTCTTTGATCTCTATGGTAGGTGAGGTCTAAAAAGATATTGCAGTAATACACAGCATTTGGGTTAAATGGATTGGCACAGAAATATCCTATATTGGCCGAAAACGACGTTGACTCAATAGCCAACCAATGCTGTGAAGGAATAAAGTTTAGAAGGTGACATTATCAACTGGACAAAGAAAGTGAAATTACTTCTTGAATACAGGTGCACTTTCTTTTTCCAGTTTGTACTAGGAGATCGTCAAGTGAATACTTCTGTCAAGAACACAGTGTTTTAGTTCTACAAAGATTGATCCTGAGGGAGAGAGAGAGCTGTGGAACTAAACATAGCCTAGTAAAAAGAAGTGCCATTTTATCTGGGTGGATACATTTTTCTATTTATTTCTTATAATAAAAATTTAATTTATGCACATTTGTCCAGACTCATTTTCTTAAACTTAAAGGAACTCAGTTATTTCTTGATCAAACTTGTTGTTATTTGTTTATCTGTCACTTGTCAGGAAATGGTTGTTCCTGAAAATAACACATGGCCATACTTTTAACTAGATAGTGGCATTTGTTTTTTTTAATATATGAGAGTGAATATAGTTTCTCAGCATTATAAAACAATTTGAACCTTAAGACCTTTTGATACACAGCCCTGCATGGCAACCATTGGACCACATCCACCTCTGTATAGTTTACTGAATGACACAATATTTAAACTACTTGGTTGGGTATAGTCACTGTAGGGGACACTGGTTAAAAAGAGCTGCTTGATAAGCACGTAACAAATTTTTTGTAATAGCTATGTTCTACTTCTTAAGATTGCCAAAATTTAATAACTTCTTAATTTAACCTAAATTTTTGCATTATGTGACAATATTCTCATGAAATTTAAATTATTCTAGTGTTTAAGATTTACACAAACATGTATTTTCACTAACTGGCCTCTACCTTAGGTCGCATGTTGCCAGCAACTCCAGCCTAAAGTGTCCTTTACATTAGGTAGCATGTTGCCAGTACCTCCAATCTAAAGTGGTCTCTATGTTAGGTCATATGTTGAGAATTACTCCAGCCTGAAGTGTCTTTGTGTTACATTTCATGTTGCCAGTTGCTCCAGTTTCAAATTGCTTCTACATTAAGCTGAGTGTTGCGAGTTATTACAACTTCAAGTATTTATTACTCTTTTTCGAAAAGCACACAAATCAATAGTTGACAAACTAACTCGTGGTTCTGACTTTCTGGATGTTAATTTTTTCTTCGTGTATTAGTTTTACAAAAATACTATGTATATTGTGCTGTTATTGATACAGTATCTGTCTTTTTTAGAAATGTGCAGCGCAAAACATTGGATGACCTGCAAACAATGAAAATCCTAGGTTCACACCCCTCCAAAAAAATCAAGCAATTAGCAATGTCTATATAATACATCAATATGGGCTTTTTTTGTGTGTGAAAATTCTGTAAATATGATATTCCTGTAACCAAAAAGGAAAAAAAAATGTATCTTATTATTTTTCAAACTTTAGCAGTGATTTCTTTACCCAGCTTAAGGCAAATATTAAAATATGTATCTGTGTGTTATGGTGAAGCAACTGTAAGATTAGGAATTTAAAATGCTACAATTCAGGGTTTGACTCCTGTGGTGGGAACAGTACAGATGACCCATTCTGGAGTTTTGTGCTTAACAACCAAACTGGAAACCTCAGTTCCAACTGTTCTTCAAGAATAATAATTGATGTAAGATTTTACCATAAATAAAGGATGTGCAACTACAGAATAAACAAAACATGCAAGTACAACTGTTTAATATCTCAAAACAACACTAAACATATATAAAATGTTAAACGTAATTGGATTAACATCCTATTTGAAAAGAATAATCTCACACTAAACGAGTCTGGAACAATCTTTGAAAATATTCGGTATAGTTTCTTCAATATAAAGAAGCCAGAAAACCCAGGATGACAATTTATCAAAACATGCTAATTTTATGGTTTGGATATAATGACCTGTAAACTAAACTGTGGAACAGGTCACATTATGTATACCAAATGAACCAATAAAATATACAATTTGTCCCCCTAATGTTGTCAAAAGTTGGCTTACCTGAAAAACTATAGCCGTTTGCATTTCACATTTGCTACTTTAAGAATTTTACTAAATATTTGTACATAAGCCATCTTTTGTCAACTAAAGAAACACTCTAAAAGTATAGTTTATTTCATATATTAGTGTTTTTGAGTTGTTTTTTTAATCATTCCCGTGATCTTATGTTTATATGGGATTTGAAGATAAAGGGAATTCCTGATAACTGTTATAACTCAGTGAAAAGTGATAAATCGAACGACTGATTAGGCTTCATATTTATTTTTAGTATTTTAAAGAGCTTGAATATTGAATAAATGAGAATAAATTAGTAGCATCAATACTATGTATCCTTCAAATCCTATATAAATATAGATTCACTGCATGAGTAAAAGACAACTCAAAATACCATATATATTGTATACATTCCATCACTATATGACGCCTAATTTTGTTCTTTGGGTTACTGATGAAAAGTGGAGTTTCCAGAAACCAGTAATACCAATAAACTCAATGAATTAATAAATTACTCAAAATTAAATGCTATTAGAGAGTGTATAATGTCAAAATAAATAAAGAAAAGATTCCATTTTCTTAGCTGTTCTTGCTGACAACCAAATTTTAATTTCAAAGTTAATTAAGAAGGTGTATAATAATTACACAAATACAACAATAATTTTATGATTTGATTTTATTAACTTTTAACTCCATAGTTTCATGGTTTACAATAACAATATCTTTGGTTATTTAACACAAATAATACAGTGGATTCTGTCCCACAATCAGTTAGAGTTACTTTTATTTCAGGTACAGTACAGAAGTGAGATCACGTACTTGATTGATCTAAGTTTTTCAACAATACAAACATTAAATTGCAATAGTAACAATGAAAGATTTGGAAAGATGACCAAAATCTTCTTAACAACCCAATGATACCCAGTATGTCCTGGCTCTTTAACAATGTACTAAGAACTTTAATATAAAGGCTGACATAACATCAACTAACATTTGTATGAAGCTACTGGCTAAGCTGTAGTCCAATACTAAGTATGAAGCTACTGGCTAAGCTGTAGTCCAATACTAAGCTTAAAAAAAAAGGAAAATATCATTATATACCTTGTCAATAAATTGACCTATATTTTAGTAAAAAAAAGTGCCTATCAAAAGAGGGTTTACTTGCACTTTACAAAAATCAAAGCAAGTAATGTTATACTACATTCAAAGAAAATGTCTCATTTCATCTCAGATGAATAACATTAAATTTTGTAAAAGTAACAGTCACCTACATGAACACATCTCTGTACAAACACAGTATGTCAAACAGAGTGATAAGACCTACCCAGGTATTAAATGAAATTACATCCAATGTAATGTTTTCAGGATAGGTCAATCAAGTTAACAGGCTTCTGTGACTCAAAGAAGAAAACAAAGTTGCACTAATAATCATCTGGTACTTGTATATTAATGTATGAAGAATAACAGAAAAAAAAAAAACTTGATAAAAGTATTAACTTATAATATACCGGTTTTAATTCATATTCCTGTTTATGAGACATTTCAGGAAAAATAGTTTAATCACAACAAAAACTGAATTGAATAATACTTTCATTTTGTTACAACCATACACAATAATTACAAAAGTTGATAAAAAAAAACTTAAAGCAACAGCAATTATTAGAGTACCTTTACAAAAAAGTTTACTGAAAATGGCATAAATCTTTTGCAGTAAAGATTTTTTATTGCCCAACATCAACCACTACAATTTTTTCAATAACATTAAAAAAAAACATGGATTTATGAAACTAAGCACAAAATTAACTGCTGCTAAAGAAGCCCAACCATACATTTACAGTGCCTGAAAAGCAGCAATGGCAAATATTGTGTAATAAACAACCCCATCCTGGAAAAACTAGGTCGTCTTGCTGGCATATATTCAACTCTTCTGCTGGTGACTTCTAAGGGTGCTAGAAAGTCAAATACTTTTTCTTTTTGTTAAAACATGTTGAAAACAATCTTTAAAATATCTGATTAGGAAATTTCTTATCTTTCACAGGACTCTTCTTGTTCTTCATAGATCACAGACTTGGCTCCATCATTCTCCATATCTTGCCACAACAAGTAGTCAGTTCCTTAATAAAGAAACAAGTTTATGTTACAAAGATCCAATAATGTGTAAAAAGAATACCTCTTTCTTTTTTACCAGCTGTAACTTTCCAAAACTAGCTAGTCTCCAAAGTTTGAACTTTAACAGTTAAAGTGAAGATCACATTTGAAGAAAGAAAAACATCAGAACTACTTGGAAGTTTCCATTTTCAGTATCAAGCTATAAAAACTTTTAAACTAGGAAAAAAAAGGCAGTCACTTATGAGGCTGTGCAACAATTTTTAATAGCAAGTAGATTCAACCAAGTTCCTACTTTTATACTCAAGACTATCTTTAAAATGACGAATGAGCAAAAGCTCAGTTTATTAAAAACCTTACAAGTTCTTAGCTTCACAGTCAAGGTGTAGACTTTTAATATATGAAGAAAAGAGATATGATAATTTCTTAAAGCTATGCTTTAGTCGCACTCTGGAGTGAGCACTCTGTGTGAATAACACATTTATGTAAGGATGTTTCACAAACTTGCATAATATTCAAAAATGAGAGTGTAGAGAAAATAATTTACAAACAAACTGTCAGATGGTAAGAGAAGGTAAAGACATACAGCAAGATGTTGGAGCATTAATTTTATACCTGATCATTGTGAGATACGTATCTATACTGGAAGTCTTCCAAATTCAAGCCAAACCCTTATTACTCAAATCACTCATAAGTGTTTTATGTAGGTTGAATGTAAGGAATTTTTGGCTAAAATTGAAATGTTCACCTCAAAATGTTTTCAACAGACCAGTGCTGTGCCCAATCCTAGTAACAGACCAATGTTGTGTACAAGCCTAATCCATTTTAAAAACACCCATTTCATAAGTTCCATACACTGCAAAACTTGTGTACCATATTCATCACTGGACACATTACCTGCTCCTCCTTCACAGTATCATACTGTGCTATTAAATCAAAAGTCAATCACTCAACATTCAACAGAATAGAGGGAGAAAATAACTTTTTAAAGGTTGAAAACAGAAAATTCCAAGCACTATTAGTTTCTGTCTGGTGAAATTACCAAATAAAAATATATAATTATCACATGATAAGCAACATCCCAACAAAGTTCAATGGTTAAAAAACAACTTTAATCTAGATTGGTGAGGAGAAACAGTATAGTATGCTTCCTGCACTCAAAATGAAACACTGAAGTTTACCTTTAGAGTTCAACCTCATGTGTGGCTTGATGGCACTGGTGTGAAACATCCATAAGTGACCATTGTTACAGTCACTTAAACAGTCTGAACAGGGCTGGATGACATGATATCCTACCAGGTTTCCACTAAAAATAAACAACATACTAAGAGAAACTGCCTTAAAGGTATAACAACAATTTTTTTTTTTTTTTTAACAAATAAGGTAATCATTTGGTCTTTGGAGAAAAAAAACAACAACAGATAAACTTGAATGTCTTCATCTTCTGATGGATTTAAAGTGTCTGTAAAACTGTATATTAATCCTAAAAATTAACAAAAATACTTTTGTTTAGCATTAATCACCATTTACTTCCATACTAATGTAACAATATTAACATGTGCAGAGGAGGGGGTCAAAGTGTGCTCACCCTGACATTTTACAGAGTGCCATGAAACATGGCATTATGTATTTGATGTCAGTTATCAGCTATATATTTGACCCTAAACTGTTGATTTAGCAACATTTCTTGGTAAGTACTAAATACAATATGAGATACTTAACAAAAACTGTAGATATACATACTGGAGGTTCTAGAGGTTATGAAAATGCAATATACAAATTTACCATGTACAAAATTATTTTTATTCTTCACATGAAGATCACCTTGCATTCTAACTTATCACAGTCCGAGTCAGACTGATGTTAGCATTTCACAGACATATCTTGAGTACAAGTATTTTTGTAACAGAATTTTTGTGTACAACAGATTTTTACTTTTCACTAAATGCTTAGCACATTTGATGATTATATACCTAATTTCAGAATGATAGTCAACATTACTTTTCCAATGAGCTCAGCCAAATGGATCAAGTCCATACACAATGGGTTAAACAGGAAAGCAATACATAATCAGTAGACCACATATACATGTATAGATGTTTCCCATCCTTTAATGTTACTATCTATTGACATAGTTTATTTGATTTCACAAGTCTCTAGATTATAGGCCCACAAGGAATATAAATATATAGTGTGTGGTTTTCTATTTGATATAACTCAACACCTCCAATCATTAAGTTCTAGTAGTAAATTATTGTAACTATGATATCGTGTTATATTTATTATATAAAACACTAAAGTATTATCAATAACTTGTGATCAAAAATAAGTTCAAAACTATTTGGTTGTCAAGAAATTAATGTCGCTTTTTTTTTAGATGAAAAAACCTGAACAACTTGTATATCAAAATAAAACATTAATT